GATCGCCACTCTGGCGCCTGAAATCAGAACTGAGTTCCGACAATTTAAAAACTAAGAAAAAAAATGCATTAGAAATAACTTGTTCAATTTACACCCGAAATAAACTGCCTTATATAATTAAACTCTCAGAGTGTCAGAGAACACCTTGACACTTTGTAATCCCTCGTTCCAACTAGTAGAGCTCTCTCAGATCGTTACTCTCTCACAGGAGCTGGCATCAGGCACCGAATGACTGCTCCGGCTCAAAAGCATGTGTTAGAGCGTTAAAATGGTGAAGCATTTTTGTTATACGTCACGTGGTTATTAAAACACAGGAATATGGTACGAGAATACTTAATAAAATACAATTTATAATTATACTGCGTATTTTATATTTACTAATTTTTAAAAGGCTTATCATTTACATGATAACTAAAGAAGGTCTATTGTATTTAGTTTTTTAATGCAATTAGAAATATAGTAAATTAATGGCATGCGTTTTCAAACTTGTGTTAATGTTAGCGGTTATTATATGGCACCCAGTTGTTGTTTTCGGTTTGTTTGTTTTTCCTCTTGATACTTAATTTCAAGGAAGTTCTAACTATATATGTAATCCTAGTACCGGTTTTAAAAGCTAAAGTAGTTCTTTTCTGTTGTTGTTCACCTTGTTGTAGATCTAATAATGTCATATCATATCACAGCTGACTCTTGTATGGTGTTGTAGATCTAATAATGTCATATCACAGCTGACTCTTGTATGGTGTTGTAGATCTAATAATGTCATATCACAGCTGACTCTTGTATGGTGTCGTAGATCTAATAATGTCATATCACAGCTGACTCTTGTATGGTGTTGTAGATCTAATAATGTCATATCACAGCTGACTCTTGTATGGTGTTGTAGATCTAATAATGTCATATCACAGCTGACTCTTGTATGGTGTTGTAGATCTAATAATGAATGTCCTACCGTATCACAGCTGAATTTTGTTATCGGCAAATTTAACTAGAATAACGTGTACTGTGAAATTAAAACCGTGTTTGATTAGTTATTATCGGTATTGGTATTTTGGATCCAGATAGAATATTGTTTGGATTCTGTTTCAATTAGAATACTGTTGAGATTCTGGTACAGGTAAAATATTGTTTGTATTCTGGTGCCGATGAAATATTGTTGGGATACTGTTTCAATTAGAATACTGTTGAGATTCTGGTACAGGTAAAATATTGTTTGTATTCTGGTGCCGATGAAATATTGTTGATATTTTGATCAATGTATCTCGTCTTGTCTAATGAAATATTGCTATTTTGGTCCATGTTTCTCGTCTTGTCTAATGAAATATTGTTGCTATTTTGGTCCATGTTACTCGTCTGGTCTAATAAAATTTTGTTGCTATTTTTGTTCATGTTTCTTGTCTGATCTAATGAAATATTGTTAGTATTTTGGTCCATGTTACTCGTCTGGTCTAATGAAATATTGTTAATATTTTGGTCCATATTTCTCGTCTGGTGTAATGAAATATTGTTGCCATTTTGGTCCATGTTTCTCGTCTGGTCTAATGACATATTGTTGATATTTTGGTCCATGTTACTCGTCTGGTCTAATGAAATATTGTTACTATTTTGGTCCATGTTACTCGTCTGGTCTAATGAAATATTGTTGATATTTTGGTCCATGTTACTCGTCTGGTCTAATGAAATATTGTTGATATTTTGGTCCATGTTTCTCGTCTGGTCTAATGAAATATTGTTGATATTTTGGTCCATGTTACTCGTCTGGTCTAATGAAATATTGTTGATATTTTGGTCCATGTTTCTCGTCTGGTCTAATGAAATATTGTTGATATTTTGGTCCATGTTACTCGTCTGGTCTAATGAAATATTGTTGGCATTTTGGTCCATGTTTCTCGTCTGGTCTAATGAAATATTGTTGGCATTTTGGTCAAGATGAAACTTTGCTGGTATTCTTTAAATCACTGTTGTTCATTTACTGCAAAGAAACACTGGAACAGAAATTATTGAAATTGTATTTTTTATTTATTTTTTTGGTAATCGAACTTCATAAATTAAAACTACAACCATATTTAATGATTACCGGGATAAACTGTTTACAGTCATAATATTCGACATAGATTTCAAACTCATAACGAAATTGGTAAAACAAAAAGTTGGCGTGAGCAAAATATAGATACAACTTTGTTGGTTTCACAAGAAAAACGTAAAAGAAAAATGTTTGGCTTGCGGAACTCCACCTGCCCCCCTCCTCCCCCCGAGCTGCTGGTGTAACTCACGCTCTCGTGACACAGTGTATATATATGCGTCGAGCACAGGTGTGGATAAAACAATAACCAGATTGATACGGACAAGAATATGAAAAAAAAAATAGTCGGGATAAAAAAAATGAGATTCTGTCAAAAGGAATTTTAATTATTTTGTTCGATGTTGCTATTGGCACACCTTGATCACAAAACATACCAGCGTGAAGCAATCAACTCACGATATTACAGGCTCCCAAAAATTAGGTTTTAAAACGTATTTATATTTAACAAAAGGAAACTTTCTAAGAAGCCCCACCCAATTCCACACTCTTGCAACACTGTAATAGTACTAATACTGTTGGATAATGAACACATAATTACACAAAAAACTACAGTTCATACCAGGTTTACCCTAATATTATCACAAAATCTTATCATAAGACGAACATGTTTTTGTTTTTTTTAAATATTGCAACAAAGTGTAAAAAAAATTAGTTCGTTCACGAGCCATTATAATCTTATTCTGTTAAGTACTCTTATATGCTTAAAATATAAACTATATTTAAACTTCTAACGTTAATTAACCAACAAAATAGTTCGCGTTTTTCTTGGTACTATCGACTACGATCTGTTTAAGCTGGCTCTTGTAAGAAATTTCAGTTCGAAGCCCATTGCTTGCATTAACTAACTCATGTCTAGAGTTATATTTTTACGCTAAAAACCCGGTTTCGATACCTATGGTGGGCACAGCACAGATAGCCCATTGTGTAGCTTTGTGCTTAGCTACAAGTAAATAAACAAACAAAAAGACTCTCACACACTGTATGTGTCGCAAATAATTTTAATTGGACGCTAAAAGTAAACGCAGCAAAACTGTGTCAATCTATTTATCAGGCATTTACTCATCAATCCTGGTGGCAAAACCGATAAACTATAAAGTCATATCTTGTCAAGATTACTTAACCTCTGAACAATGAAAGAATGAGAAAAGGAAACGTCAGTTGCCCTAATACAGTAACTGAATATTAAGAATGTAACAACTGTGTTATTATTTGGTCGAGCTTGTTGTGTGGTATTCATCTAAGTTACTTGATCATTCATGTATAGCTTGGTTCGAGTAATGCAGGCTGTAATGTGAATAAAATCACTCTATTTTTGTTACCTGCGCCACCGAAGGTGACGGACGTTATGTTTTCACACCTATGTGTGTGTGTGTGTGTTTGTCAGCAAGATTTCTAGATAACGGGTGAATCGATTTAGACGAAAACTAGTATACCTCTGAACTATGACCCAACTTAGAAGTGTCAATTTTTGGAGGGTCAAGGTCAAAGGTCAAAGTCACGAAGTTTCAAAAAAATCCCCATCTGTTAGCATAGGGACCGATTTTTCGAACTACATTTGCACTATAACTCAGTCAAAAATGATCGTATCTTGATGAAACTTGGTGAACGTATGTAGAATGTTATTCCCTATTGTCCTACCAAAAATGGTCCGTGTCCGTTGGTAACGACGGATATATGGACACATTTTCTGAGGGCCAGATATCATCAACGCTAGGTGGCGGAGGTTATGCGCTCTAAAGTTGTTGTTGTTTTTTTGTTTTTTTACATTAAACGCAGAAACGACTCCAGACAACGTGTGGTGACAGTACATGAAGTTTTGGTGACTCTAGCTTGAGACTGTGAACTTCGGGGTGTCTTAAATGTAGCCGATAACTAGCTATCTCTCTTTTTATGGGAAAAATCGACAAGGATACAGAGAACAAAATACATAAGCAACAACTAGTGAACATTATAAGCACCTGGTTGATTATATGGTGTTTCTACGAATCAGTAACAAAGTCCTACAACTAGTGAACATTATAAGTACCTGGTTGATTATATGGTGTTTCTACGAATCAGTAACAAAGTCCTACAACTAGTGAACATTATAAGCACCTGGTTGATTATATGATGTTTCTATAAATCAGTAACAAAGTCCTACAACTAGTGAACATTATAAGTACCTGGTTGATTATATGATGTTTCTATAAATCAGTAACAAAGTCCTACAACTAGTGAATATTATAAGTACCTGGTTGATTATATGGTGTTTCTAAGAATCAGTAACAAAGTCTTACAACTAGTGAACATTATAAGCACCTGGTTGATTATATGATGTTTCTATAAATCAGTAACAAAGTCCTAAACAAACATATATTATCCTACAGAGACGTTCTATTTTTATACACAAAGAAAAATTTCAACAAGAACTCCAAGCCAGTAGGATCGAAAGCTCTTTTCGTTTATTTTTTGAAACCAAAGAAATGAAACGTAATGCAGTTGACTCCACAAAGGTACCAAGAATGTGAGGGAAGGAACTCTTGTTTTCATCTGTGGTTTCACCTGGTCACTGGTTTTTCGACTGTCCTTAATATGTAATTCTAATACAACCTTCATAAACAGGCGATCGTTTAAGTGGAACATTACTACGATACCGAAACAGAAACTTGGGCCATAAGAAGAAAGGTGGAGGGTATTTTAGAAAGTTCTGAGATTAGATGCTTGGAATATATCTCGGATGAAGAATAAGAATAAGTGACGACATCAAGAATAAGATTGGAGTCTGTAAGATCACAGAAACAAAAAGAAGACTGAGATGGTTTGGACAGGTAGTACGAAATTAAGAAGGATGTTTAATGAGAGGATATGGGGGAAGTGGGTGGAGATACTAGGTGGACAGTGATATGGGAGAGGTGGGTGGAGAGACGACGTGGACACTGATATGGAAGAGGTGGGTGGAGAAACATGGAGGACAGGGATATGGATGGAGAGACGTGGTGGACACGGATATGAAGGAGATGAATGGATAGACGAGGTGGACAGGGGTATGAGGGAGGTCGGACCAACCAGAAATGATCCAAAGGACGGTAATCTATGGGGGGAAAAAAGACCAGAGCAGACGGCCCCTTACCAGAATGGGATTGAGATTGTAAGTAGAAGAGTGTAATCCAAACACAGTTGGTTTCTAAAAACAGGTATAAAAATTTCGTAAGCACAAAATACAAGAAGCCGTTTAGCAGGAAAAAAAACATGCTTCTGAAAATTTATTCAAGTTGACAAATAAGATTAAAACACTGGCACCTGAAAACAACCCTTTTACAATGCGGAATTTTATAAGCCGAACTTTTCTTTCTCTATAATTAGAGCAGATATCTGTATCGCCTCCCCCTGAGGAAAGCTGTACCAAGAAAAGTAGTGTCTATACGTTATGGTTTATAAAGTTTTACACACTGCTCGAGCTCTGGACACATACGAGACTAGGCGGAGAAAGCTAATTACAGAGTCTCACTTGTACAGGGAAAAGATACTCTTTCTATGCTATCCAGAATGAATTACTTTACAACAGCAGATTAACATGGGGTTGTTAAGGCTTCAAGAATGTGTGTTGTATTTATTAACACAGGGTGACCTGTCTATATTAAGAATGCTGCCATCCCCAGCAAACCTTGCACACTGTCCGGTCTGTAATTAGCGCTTTGAAATTAGATACAAACACGTGAGGGTCTGGCTTTTGTAAACCACACCACACCGGACCAACCATTTGTCCCGTACTGTAAAAAGGCTTTCCTTCTTTAAGATTGAAAACGTTACGAAAATTTTTTGAACAACAAAACGTTTTGTAAAATTATCATGTCAAAAAATAACGGTACTTGTTTATTTAACTGTTTGCCTACTTGTAAAGGAACTAATGGTCGCTTTAGTCACATATACACATCTATATCATTCAACCGTTTGCTCATGCAGATTATAAGATATGTTCATAATTGTGTTGAAAGATGGCGCCACTATATAAGCGAGAAATATTCCTTTTTTCGATGTGATGTTTGGAAAGCTCTAATAATCGGAATTATTCGAAAAACCCAAACACCAGGCCAAAACCTGTGTATGATAGAAAAACAACCTTGTTTTTTGTCCACGAAACAAAGAAATATAATGTAATAATTTATTATACTTTAACTGCCAATCCCACTTCTCTGACCAGTATAGTATAAGTAACAAATTTCTCTGAAGAAGTATGATAAACGTATATGTTATTCTACTACTGTCACTTCCACTAATCAGATCTAACTGTCTTTTGTTTGATTTCTAGAACATTTTAATTGAATTTTGTAGTTTTTGCAGTTTCATATCCTGTGTGAGTAATTGTTTGTTTGTTATGAATTTCGCGCAAAGCTACACGAGGGCTATCTGCGCTAGCCGTCCCTAATTTAGCAGTGTAAGACTAGAAGGAAGGCAACCAGTCATCACCACCCACCGCCAACTCTTGTGGCTACTCTCTTACCAACGAATAGTGGGATTGACCGTCACGTTATAACGCCCCCACGACTGAAAGGGCGAGCATGTTTAGTGTGATGGGGATTCGAACCCGCGACCCGCAGATTGTAAATCGGGCGCCTCCTACCCACCTGGCCGGCCCACTGTGTGAGTAATATTTCTGTATTTTTTGGAAATTCTGTGTGTCTGTATTGATTAAACAAAATCAAATTTTAAGCTGATTCCAATATATATATATATATAATTACTAATACATCGTTTAAATTCGTGGTTAGATCCCTGCCGTGAGCACGGTGAAGATAGTCTGTTGTTTGGTTTTTACGGTTATTAACAGATAATAAAGAAAATTTAATGCAGAACTAAGAAATACAAATATTGTTTATTTGTTTCGTAGCAAAGCGACACTGGGGGTATCTGCTCTGTCCACCTCGAGGAATCGAATCCCGGATTTTAGCGTTGTAAGTCCGTAATTGTCTAGTTAAAATAAATAAACAGAGTCTGTGTAATAATCACTAGAAGAGATTAAAAACGTCGCATCATCTGGGAAGACAGATTTGTTTGACGACATCTCCAAAGATTGAAGTATAGAAAACGACACATCAGCTTAACGACATCTTCCGAAGGGAGTGTAGAAAATGTCACATCAGCTGGGAAGTCAGATTAGCTTGACGACCTATTCTGAAGAAAGTATAGCAAAGGTCACACTATCTGGGAAGTCAGATTAGCTTGACGACCTATTCTGAAGAAAGTATTATAAAAGTCACACTAGCTTGGAAGTCAGATTAGCTTGACGACCTATTCTGAAGAAAGTATTATAAAAGTCATACTAGCTTGGAAGTCAGATTAGCTTGACGACCTATTCTGAAGAAAGTATAGCAAAGGTCACACTATCTGGGAAGTCAGATTAGCTTGACGACATCTTCCGAGGAAAGTATAACAAAAGTCATAGTAGTTGGGAAGTCAGATTAGCTTGACGACCTGTTCTGAATAAAGTATAGCAAAGGACACATTAGCTGAGAAGTTAGATTAGCTTTATGACATATTCTAAATGAATTGTAGAAAAGGACACATTAGCTGGTAAGTCAGAGTAGATTGACGACATCTTCCGAGGAAAGTATAACAAAAGTCATACTAGTTGGGAAGTCAGATTAGCTTGAGGACATCTTATTAGGGATGTATATCTAAGATCACATCAGTTGGGGGAGTAATATTAGCTTGACATCTTCTAAAGGGAAGTAGAAAACATTTCTTGAATGATCACTTAAAAACCTAGAGCTAAATGAGTTGTTTATTTAATTGGGGACGTTATTTTCCTCTTGACCATAATTTTATAGTCATTAACAGTGAATGTTGAATATGGAGGCTTAACATTGCTGGATCTTCGCAAGTAGTTGCAACCAGAATTCCCAGATGAAGCTGAAGATGTTAGATTTTCCAAGAAAGTAGATTCAGTAAGCAGCGTGATACACCTGTGTGGTGCTGAGGAGTTGTGGTTAGGGCCTCTGATCGTTTCAGTAACAGGAAAGATTTGAAACTTCACAGCTGGAGGGGCAAAAAGACGACTTAAGAGTACGACAATTAGTGGTTTAAGCGTGGAAGTCAAGAACTTCGCGCAAAGAAAAAATTAGATTACATAACAACAGCGAACTTGTAGTGAGACTGGAAGAAGGGGACCTTTTGTAAGATGACAAAAGAAACAATATGTCTTCCACTGGGACCTCCTGGAATGTAAACTGCGGTATGGGAGGAGCAGGAGGATAGGAGACTAGGTTATCGGTCTGTGAAATCAGCTTCTAAGCACGTGTAACAAGACACATTCAAGCACTACTATTCCAAAACACTGTTGGTGCTTCCCCCCCTCGCCCCACGGAGACAGAATAAAGGATCCGTCGGGTCATCGCCCCTTCTCGACAATAACAATGTGAAGATTGTAAGAAACAGATCATCAGAATGTACCACATAATCAGATCACAACCCAAAGGGTTCCTTATAGTCTGTGTCGATCCAGGAAAGGCCCTTAGTATTGTAG